TGCATTGCTTAAGGCGGGAGAGTTTGGCAACTGGTTTTTTTTCACCTTTTTGGGCAGAGGTTTAGCCAAGATGGCTGTCCCGTCATATCTAAAAGGGGTTGTTTTCGCAGGAATCGGTCCCTTTTTGCCCCTGGTTTCTTGGTGTGACTTGCACCTTTTGGAAGAGCTTTAGTGCTTGTCCTCTGGTCCCTGAGAGACACAAGATGATTGAAAAAGATGCAGATTCTCGTGGCTTCGGCCCAAGATCTTGCTTCATTGCCAAACTGCAGTAATTTCTTCAAAATGACTTTCTAAGAGAAAATTCAATGTTTTCCTTCATAGCCAGCATCTGCTTGATTTGTTAAAATGTATCAGCGGGTTCAGTTTCGTATCCAGCAAAGTTTATAGCCTAAAAAAATTCAGTCACCTCATCGACTTTGCCAGCTGCTTAATGATTTACGGAAAAATTTAGTTTTTCTTCTGCTGGTTGCATAACCTGCCTTCCCGATAGATCCTGAGAACCTTTGGCTCCGTTCGTCGTCTCTCAGCGTGAGTTCTGGGTGTTAGCATCTCATACTCCATCTTTGAGTGCCTTAATTAGCGGACATTTCTACATCCTCTTATATCTGGATCCTTCTCTGATGGCAAGTTCCATTTTGCAACCTGCATGAGCCGTTGGTTCTACTTGAAGGAGAGATCTTGTTAACCAAATGGTGTTAATCCCGTGTGATCGCATTGACGTTCCTTATGCATAAAGATAAGTCATATGTAATTCATTTCTGTCTTAGTTTAGTTCAACCCTGTTAAATAATTCATTTTGTTAAATAATTTTTGTTATAATAGTTAACCATACTAAGCTTACTAGAATTTACTTGTTAGAAATAAAAGGAAATGTTTTTTTAAATAAATAATTAAGTTAATAAAATTTTAAAGGTTAATTAAATTTGCTAAGGTTAATTCATTTTTGATAAAGTTAATTGATTTTTGGTGTATCAGATATTGACAAAGCAATTCCTTAACTCAGTTGGCAAAAATGATTGTAACTGAAAATTTCCATTACTGCCTCGTCTTAGAAATCTTATTAAAGTTGTGTTTTATTATAATTACTGTTCATGATTTTATTTGTGCAATATAACTTTTCCATCTTTCCCGGTTATGGAATACAGTAAAAAGTCTTTAATCCGGACTCGTTGGGACTTTGGCGATTCCGGATTATAGATCATCAATTTAAATCTGGTAAGATGGCATGCAGAAATTATAAAATTAAAAATATGAAACCGTAATTTATGAAAAAAAGAGCAATTATGATCTAAAAAGTATTAAAATTTACAAAAAAAAAGCTTAATATTTATTTGTTTACTTTATTAAACATTTCTTTCGATGTAAGTTGTTTAAGTTGCTTCGTTTTTTGTGCTAATATTTTCTCTTTAATTCTATAAACAGACATAATTTCTTATTCAGTTCCACTGTTCAAGTCCTGTAATTGCTGTGTCGAAAATACCGACTAATTTGTCAATCGAAATTTTTTCGTTTTCAATAACCTCTCTGTCACTTTCTTCACTATCGGAAGCAGTACATCGAAACATGCTTTCGCTTTGTAGATCCTTTGGCAGCTCCAGAATCGAAAACTCTTTTTGACATAATCGAAAGTTCAAGCTTACTTTTTATAAAATTGATCTGCAAAACAGTCTGAACAGTCTGCAAAAGTAATAAGCCGGATCCAATTAGAAGATTAAGGAACAACACAATCTGCAATAGATAATTAGATAAATTTAGCCTAGCTTATACCGTCCGTTATACATTAAACGTGCATGCGTAAGGCTGCGTTCAGACGGCAGAGTAAAGGGCATAAAGTACAGGTATTCCGTTCACACACTTGCGAGAACGGAACATAAGCCGTGGCCAATAGGAGGAGCTAAATTTGCGCATGCGTGAATGTATCTACAACTTTCCCGCACTGTTTTCCTGCTCGATTGACTTCCCACGTTCGCTCTGCTTGTTTTGTGACAGCGAAATCGTCTGTAGAATGCCACTTCGTTTTAATTGGTCGACGCTTATCCCAAACTTGGCGTAAAGTCGAAAACTTTGAATCCTATGCCACGAGCACTAAACCAGATTTTGTGACATAGCACAGACTGGTTGCCTTGGCTACGGAGCTCGGCTTTAACCACTTATGCCCCTTACGCCCCCGTCTGAACGAAGCTTAAAGGTATTATATGCATGCGTAACACATATGCGCATGTATGAACGCATTATGCATTGAGGCATGCGCAGAAAGTTTGTAGCTTTGAGGTCCGAATTATAGATCATTCCGGATTATGGACGACTGAATTAAAGACTTTGTACTGTATTAATAAAGAAAGTGATAATTTTCAATTATGTGCAATATTGATTAAAACTTCTGCATCTTTCGGGTTGTAATTTAATGGACCCTAAAATCATAATAAGGAAAATTAATTTGGTGCTTGTAAAGTTTGAAATTCTAGAAATTGCACCAGGTATTTTATCTAGCTTGTTTGTTAATCTGCGAACGATCAACTGAATTAAGTATTATGTTTACCAAGTATGTAACTGTTAAATATTTTTTTCTCTCTCCGGAGAAGGTAAAAGATTTTCCTGTTAAAAATAGTTCTGTCTGGTTTTGATATCTACCATTAATATTTGATGCTACACTGACTACCAATAAGTATTTTGACACCTATGCAAATGACGATAACTGCGGTCCCAAGGTACGCCATGGACTCCGCCGGTATATATCGTGTAGGAAACAGCATCGGCTTTAGTCGCATGCAAGATGCCTCGCAGTTGGGAGCTCTCTGATTTCGAGAAAGGTATAATTATCGGGTATCACAAATGTGGCCGATCCTTAAGGGACATATCTAGCGATCTGTAGTACCCAATATCGACAGTGGCCTATGTGATTAAGAAGTGGAAGGTGAGGGTTGATTGTCGGAATGTGCCCCAAGTCTGCCGACCAACGAAACTGGGGGACAGAGACCGACGAGTGCTGTTCAGAGAAATTCGGAAGAACCGCACCCAACCGATAGCCCTCATCCGCTAGGAGTTTCAACAAGCATCCGGGAGTATTGTTTCAATGAATACCATCCGTAAGGAAGCACATCTGCTTGGTTTTCGTGGTCGTGCTACTGCCCATAAGCCTTTGATCACAAAGTCCAACCGTGCTGCTCGGTTAATGTAGTCAAAGCACATCAAAATTGGACCGTAGATCAGTGGAAACGGGTTCTTTGGAGTGACGAATCAATGTTCACCCTTTACTGTTCCGATGGCAGGGTCTGGGTCTGGCGTCTACCTGGAGAACGTCTCCTGCCAGAATGCATTGTGCCAACAGTCAAGTTCGGCGGAGATGGAATTACGGTCTGGGTGTGTTTCTCCTGGTATGGGCTGGGACCCTTGGTCCCCATTCATGGTAAGCTCAACTCCGATGCCTACTGCACTATTTTGGATGACAATGTGTTTCCTACGTTGTGGCAGTTTTATGGGTTGGATCCCTGTTACTTTCAGGACAACAATGCCAGTTGTCATGTTTCGACGTTAACCAAGGCTTGGTATGGTGCCAATGGAGTTCATCGAATGGACTGGCCTGCCCAGAGTCCAGACTTGAACCCTATCGAGAACCTCTGGGATGAGTTGCATCGCCGAATTCAGGGGTGCACTACCCTTGCAAAATCGGTGAAGGAACTTCTATGTCTTCTCCAAGCCGAGTGGAAGAAAATACCACTAGCTGTCATACAAAGACTTGTGGAAAGTATGCCCCGGAGGGTCCACGCTGTAAATACCTCTCGTGGAGGCTCTACCAACTATTGATTTTTGAATAAAGTTTGTTTTTCTTTTCTATCACAGGTGTCCAAATACTTATTGGTAGTCAGTGTATAATATTAGGCTCAATAAACGTTTTCTTTGGATTAATTAATAGTATGGTTTATTTGATTTGTTCATGTCACTCACCAGTACACCTTTATATTTGAATTAGGAGTTGTTCGGTCAAATTTACACAACGCAATGATTTAGGTTAGTTGATCAGGAAAATTTAAATTTTGTGTTTCTGGGTCTTTCTTAAAAAGGCACGAAACACAAAAAAACACTCACTAAATCCGAAAACTCTCCAGTAATTTCCAACCCAAGATATTTTTGGCATTTCTACACTTTAAAACACAGACCGAACAATAAAAATCAAATAAAGAATGCTTTACTTCCTACAACCACACAGAAAGCTACAAATTGTTAGTTACCTAATCAGAATCATCCCAATTAATATATATAAAAATTAAATACCAAAAGAATAATTAAGTTATCAATGATAAGTGCCAAGCAAACTATCACTAAATCAGAAAACTCTTTAGCAATTTCCAACCAAAAACACTTTTGATATTTCCCACACTTAAACAAAACACACTGTGATAAAATTAACATAAAATTACACAGCATTATTAACTGAACAACAAAAATAAAAGAATTACTTCCTACAACCGCACAGAAAACTACAAATCGTTAGTTACTTAATCAGAATCATCGCAGCTAATACATATAAAAAATCAAATACTAAAAAGTAATTAAACATCTTTATAAGCACAGACAGACTGCTACGATATTAATTATATTACTATAATCATTAAACAGTGCATGATTAGTTAAGTTTAATAAATATAAAAAGCACTGATGAATAAAATTAAATGTTTACTGATAATTAACACTAAAAGAAAACATTTACCGGCAATTCAAATTTAAACGGATTTCTTAATATCTTAAAATTTAATATATATATATATATATATATGTAAATTACAATTCTTATGGGGGAAAACGAAAGCTTAAGAGAACATACAATTACAGATAAAACATGAGAAAAATAAAACTTTTAATAACAGAAAAAATATACAGCAAATAATTTAACTAAAAAAAGAAAAAAAAACAGGTCAGCACCGGATACTAAAAATTACGTAAATAAAAGAATTAAAATCACAATCATAATAATTAATCGCTATAATATGAAAAATGCAAACCATCTTGCTCTCTCCAGCACGTTTTCCGCCGATAAACACGCTTTAATTCAATGATGGCGGAATATTTCTCTCTGATGCCAAGAAATACATTTCGACTCAAATAATGAAATGAGTCTCGAAGAAATATTCTGCATAGTAATTTTTTTTTTTTACTGTACAAAAGAAAATACTTTTACAAGAATTTAAAATATGATTAAATACACTACAGTTATTAGATATAGTATTACTGATAATTTTAAATTATGCATATATATATACATATTATATATATATAAAGATCTAATATATATATAATATATACTAGATCTTCATCAGGCGTAATAAAAAACATTAATCAATTTGTTTTTTATATCATAAAAAATATAATTGCAAAATTATAATAAATTTTTATAAATTATAAATCAATTAATAATTTTTCATCAAAACAAGTATTTCAATCGATTACTATAATCGTGATTGTTTGACATTTCACAGCTATGTGTTAAAGAGTGCAAGTATTAAATAGCTTCATTTATTAATTTTTTATTGATAAAATGTATATCTAATGCAATCCTAAATTTTCCTTCTGAGTACCATGAAAATTCTTCGGTTTACATTCTTACTAATTGCAGAGTAAGCCTCATGATAGTCAATCTAGTGACGTCATTTCTTAGCCAACGGGGATGAGTTTATGTTTGTACTTTTAGAAACATATTCTTATGTGACTCCAAAGAAGTGATACGTTTTTCTAAGTGCGTACCCATTGAGGGCCATGGAATAGTGTGTTACACAGAGTACGCGCACCGTAAGGTGCTGCAGCACAAACGAATAATCATGGAGTAAGTTCTGTTAATTTAGAATGAGGTTATTAGAATTAATCATCTGAAATATAAAATTGTATGTAGTTCCGTGTCGGGCGCCATTTTGAATTTCGTTCATATGTATGTAAAAAATATGCGCCTCTCTCTCTCTATATATATATATGTATGTGAATGCAAAAGTAATTTGATTTTGGATTTAAAATATCGGTAAAAACACTACCGTTATCTTACGTTGGACATTATTTCTCTTGTCATACACATATTGATGTGTCACAGAGAGCGATTTTTATGATCTTCCGATCATATATTTGAGTAGAATGCAAATAGTCTTTTCGATTACTTTAGGAAGTCTTATAATTTTTATACAGTGACTCCCAAAAGTGTTCGTACACTTATGATTTTCATTGAAATAGAGCTCTATCTAATTAAAAGTAATGACAAAACTTTTCTCACAAAAGTCTTCGTACACTTAAAAAAAAATCTTGACATATTAGTAAATATTTTCATTTTTGGTTAAATTAATATTTAGTAGGATATCCTTTAGCGTCCACAACAGCTTTTAAACGTCTGGGAATAGATTTTACTAGTTTTTTTGTTCTGTTAATTTCTGAATCGGTGTTTATCCATTCTTCCATCATGACGGTTTTGAATTAGCTTTTCGTTTTGATGTCGTTTTCGTACTTTAACCTCCAGTTCTTTCCAAATGTGTTCTATGGTGTTTTCACAACCTGTGGACAATTATAGAGACACCACAGACGAACGTTGAGAGCCGTATGCTTCGGATCGTTAACATGATTAAAATTAAAGTTGTTTCCAATACCCAAATTTTGGGCTCATAATTTAAAATCGTCTCTTAAAATATTTAAATAAGAAGAATGATTCATTATGCCATCAATAAATACCAAATTACCTAGTCCTGATGGTTTCATGCACCCCCACACAAGAACACTGTCACCCCAATGCTTAACTGTTCCAACTAAGTTCTTAGAATGAAGTTCCTCATTTTTTCTTCTCCATACAGTTATTCGACCATCGGAACCAAAAATGTTAAATTTGCTTTCGGCGGCAAATAGGACATTATTCCAGTACATTTTGGATGTATTTGTCATTGATTTTGCGAATGAAAGCCTAAGCTTTCTATTTTTCTCGCTAACAAAAAAATTTTTACGGGCAGAATGCCCATGTATTCCAGCTTCTCTGAGAACTCGTCGAACAGTTTCAGATGAAATTGAAGTAATCTGCATTAAATTCTGCAGAAACTTTTGCAGCACTCAAATGTGGTTTTTTCACAAATTTTCTAATAACAAATCTCTCATCACGTTTAGTTAACTTTCTCGATCAACCTTTTCTTGTTTTCAATCTGAGTTTCTTCTTTAAAGCATTTTATCACATACTGCACTGAAGGATGAGATAAATTAACTAATTTAGCGTTATTTCAAATTAATTTACTATGGTGAAAAATTATCAATTTTCGAATGCTGTTTGTAATTTCTTTACAACTGTCAATCTTTCAATAATAACTAGAATATTATGAAGTAAACAATAAAAAATTAGAGCAAACGATTTTATTAAATGCCACCGCAATGCAAAAATTAAAAAAGTGACAAACGATAATTCTAATTTTGATTTTATCCAAAAATATTTCGGTGTACGAAGACTTTTGTGAGATACAATGTTTGCCATTTTTTTATTATTAATTTCTTAAAAATAAAGTTTCGCTATATTCTACAAATATTTCATGTAATTTTGTTACGAATAGATTATAGATCTTATTATTAAAATCTCATTCAGAACGTTTACTTTTAATTAATGGATAGAGCCCTATTTCAATAAAAATCATCAAAGTGTACGAACACTTTTGGAAGTCACTGTATTTTCAATTGTAAGGTTTTAGCTTTCACTAGCGCATAAATCAAAAGTACTTTCATTTTCTTCAGGTGACTAGAAACCATTTATTTCTATGAAAATTTTTTTTTTATTTTTGAATGCAATTATAATCCAAATGATGCAGAATTATTACATGGACAATGAGTTATATAATTAATTTTCAAATCAGTTAGGCTCAAGAAGAATTAGATATTTTGTAGTATATACATGAAGGTGTTCTTGACATATATTGTGATAGGTTCCTGTCTGAGTGTTTTGGCACTTTTGTAAAAAACTTGGGATTGTTATGAATGTACACAGCATTTTAACCCTTGAGTACAGAGATTCATTTTCTCTTACGTAAACACACAGGAGGGGTCTCTCAGACCGCGCTCTATTTTATGTATTTTTTAAATAATGTATTATTGTTATGATATAAGCATTAATACACTTTGCTTGTTGTACTACTGAAGTAATTAATTCACTTTAAAACTCTAAAATTAATGCATTAAAAATTAATTTTTAAATCATATATGGAAAAGTATGTAACATTTAATCGAATAAACACTACTTACTTGCAAATGTGTATAAACTAAACTGTTTAATAAATTTTTCATCTACAGAACCTGGGTTATATAAAATAATGCAAAAAAAAAGTATAATATATAAAGAATATTAAAAAACTGCAGCACATTAAGCATTTTCAACAGAATTTTTAGCAAATTCTCTTTGCATATTCATTACATATTGGATTCTTGCGGCTGAATCAGATAAGTATTTTTTCTTCTTAGTCTAGAGAGATAAAGAAAAGATTTTACACTTTTTAAGGATATCAGTTACATCTGAGATAGAATAATAGAATAGAATCTGCTGGAAACTCTTAGAATGCACATTTTTATTTCTCGGTTCACAGTTGGGTTTTTGAAGCCTCCGTTCCATATGTGATTTCATTAATTCTGATGATAACTCCATCAAAAAATAATTTTTTCCATTGATGTATTACACGTGCATTAACCTCTTGAAGACGGGATGGCCATTATAGTGGCCATAGAGTCCTCTCTTTGAAAAGACGGGGTTGTCCACTTCAGTGGCCATGTCTTTTTACCCTCATTTTCCAGGCTGAAAAGTGGGGTGAAATGTCAGATTTGACATTCCTAGGATGTTAACCACTTACCTCTTTCAAAGGTCTTCTTTTTGCGACATAGACGCATTGCTCTGATAATCTATTAAACTACACACAAGAATCTTTGTTGCAAATAGGAGGCAATTTCTTAAAGGGGCAAAGCATTCGGCTCAAGATTCCCCGTCCTTTGGTAGCTTTTACTGCTACCAAAGCCCCGATCTCAAAAGGTTAATTCCACTTACATCAAATAACCTAAAGAATATGGCCTTTGGCTATCGCCTTGCTGTTATAGAATGTTTAGAACATTTTTCATCCAATGCATCTACACCTACTTAATCAAATTGTAAAATGTTGTTATTTCTTGTTTCCCAGTTTCAAGGTCTTCTGATTTCAAATGATGCATTGAAGAAATCAGAATAACACTTTTTAATTTTTGAGGCACATATAAAATGAGTCATTCTATCTGTGAATGCATAAAGGGAAGGTCTTCAGTTTTCGTTTTATTTGGAAAAAATTGACTTTGTATTTATTTTTTTTTTATAATACTGGCATATCTCAAACCTCTAGAGTTTCCTTTACAAGTGCGACACTCAAGTAGTGATAAAGCCATCTTCCCTCATGCGAGAGAAAAGTAACATGAATGCAGAGGTGAGGTCTATATGACCACGGCCCAATTTTTAAAATTATTTTAAAAAGAAATAATGGATAGAGTTTAATAAAAATTTAGTTAATAGTTATATATTGCATGTCAACTTGAAAGTACTGAAAAGGAAAAAAATAACTATAAAACTTATAAACAGTTTCGCAGTTCTAAAATATTGGCGCAGTCATACAGGCCCCAGCTCTGTGTTTAAGGGTTAAATTGGATAAAAATAAATCAATTCTGGTAGACTATTAAAGTGAAAATTATGTTGATCTATCTTTATGTACGTCATGAAAAGTGTTATGAAACACAAGTACTGTTTGAACCCTCTAAGTGGCCAAAAGTTCAATAGCAAATTCTTAAAATGATTTAGGTACTGCTCAAGAATTTAAAAAAGGGAGAAATTTCTGTTCTGAATTTCTTTTTGGGGAGGAGGAGAAAAAATTGAATCTTCTGTAATCCCATGTTAAACTGAACTATTATGGAGAATCAACATTTTTTTTTTTTTTTTTTTTTTTTTTTTTTTTTCCCATAAATGGCCTATCACAAAATAAACTGATTTTTAGGGTTATTGTCAGTTATCTAAAATTGAAAGGGTCTTTAAATTCCCTGCTGTTGTTGACAGTCCTTGTTTATGTAAAAGTAAAAAAATAAGCACATTTTTTTCATATTCTGTCGAAATTTATAGTAGTGGACGTTAATCTCCCTTTATCTTGATTACTTACTGCAAGAGTCCATTAATTTTTTTTTGATCAGTGGCATATCAACTTGTTGAAGTTTTATAATATATCCTTGTTATTTGAATTTGTGTAGCAATTAGATGCACAGATTTTTATCATCTCTAGCACTGGGAGGTAGTTAACGATCGAATGTAGTACCCCCCTGCGCACACACACAGAAAGGTACATGGAATTTCATATGATTTTAAAAACCATTGCTTAAAGTCTAAAGCTGATTTAAATTTAGCTCTTATATGAAAGAAATTAAAAATTTCATTGTGACAAACAAATATGACTGAAAGTTCTCATCATTCTACTAAATGTTCCGTGTAATATAGTAGCTGTAAGATTATAGCTGTTTAGGAAGTAGATATTTTATTTTCATCTGCATCCATTAGAAAAAGGTAACATTTTTGTACTGAGGCTTGCATGTTTATCAGTCCAGTTATCTTTTACATGGATAGACATTTTAAAGGAATTTTGAACATACTTAAGGGAAAGCATGTTTTAAAAAAACGGTGATGTCTTGCTGTTTGCCAAAGCCAATGTAGTTGTTTCTAAGCCAACTGCTTGCCTGAGGACTGATTTTGCCCAGTGGCATAGCTAGAGGTGGTCACTGCCCTGGGTTGTGTATTTTGGGAGTGGCATTTTTTATGCCAAATATAACTTTTCATAGATATTAGAGCCTGTTGAAAAAGGAGATTCTGAGTTGGCATATAGAATTAAATTGACACCTGTAAAATACACATTGGTCAATTTGACTGATTACGTATTTCAGCAACACTGGTTGTGCGAAAGACCAGAGTTTGTGAACATAAGTTTACACCAGATAAGTCAAAATGTTTTGTAATGGCAAATTTTCTGCTTTTGTAAAAGTTTCAAAATTGTAATAAATTTATTATCAGTCATGTTTAATAATCTTTGTTAATTTAAATGTTTTAATTTTTTATTTCCTTGTTTTTAAATTGTAAAATAGGTAAAAAAACATTAAAAATATATACACTGTTAAAATGACCGTATGGTATGGTGTGTACTTTTGTGTTATGATGAACATGTGTTCTTAAAGGTGTTAAAAAAATGTTTTTTGGATAGTGGAAGTAATTACGACATAACTGAGGTAGATTTATGCAACTACTGCATGCTCTTGTTAATTAAACCTACTTTGTGGATACTTTTGAAAGGAAAACATGAACTAAATTATGGTCATGATAACATTAATAAAGAGAAAAAAATTCCTTCATCAGTTTTTATTTCCATCATTGCCTGGGAAGACAACAGGCATGGGAGGGCTGTTCTTGTGAACTTTTTCCAGTTGATTCTAAAATGCAAACTCCAGAGGAAAGGTCATTGTCTAGTATTACTATTGTGAATTTTTCTCATGAGTTTCGAGAAGAGTTTTCTATTAAAAAAAAAAAAAAAGCTAAGACCTACAAATTAATGTTTTCCACGTAAAGAATTTTTTGATACTGTCAGCAAAGCAGTCTGGAGCAATGAAGAAGACATGTACTATGTACTTGACAGTTTCACAAACAGAAAAACAAGCAAAATAGATTTCTAAAATATTGGAATTAAAGACGTATGTTAAGCATTTTATATTACCTTTATTTAAAGAAGTGTATATTAAAGTCTTATTTAATTAATGTTTTTTGTATCATATAGGTTTTTTCACAATGTTGTTTCAACAACAACCCTTTTATCTTCGGTGGTTTGGGTCATACAATCTATCGAAAACAATGGTGGACTACCAAATAAACTTGCAGTGGCTGGAAGATGCCACCCTGTTTCCTATTGAGCCGATTAACTACCCACTCAACTTCGATGACTTGATACTTAATGGCAAGGCAAATAATGAAGTGGGTGAAACCATTTCTGGTCTCTGTGGTATGTATAGAAAAGGAAGAAACTTTGATATATTTACTATTTGTGTAGCTTGCTTTACTTAAAGAAAATTTATTTATAAATATATTACTGTTGTGTTCTGTCAGAGTAAAACATTTAGTCATAAATAAAAATTTTGTTTTACTTTTTAAAAGCTGTTATTTATCCTGAGCATATAATTAACTAAATTTATATTCTAATAAATGTCTGGCAAATATAAATTTTAAAATGCAAATATAAATTTAATCAGTTTAGGTTAGCAACTGAGATGAGAGTTGTTTCAAAGATCTGGGGATCTTGAAGTTTTTGAAGAAATAAATTAAAAGATGTAGGCTTTTGCTAATGTGTATTTACATTTTGTATACATTACTTCCAATAAACATGAAAATAGTGTGGTATGTAAAATCAAAGATGGTGCAACATTTGCAGCAGAAGTACAGTGAAATCTTGTGATGATAACCATGGTTCTAGAATGTTTTGGGCTTCTGTGGAAACATTAGCCGTGGAGAACATGATAATTGGGAATAATTCTCAAGCTGTACTTCTCATTTTCAGAGGTAGTCATTGTAAAAGGTTTCATGATAGTGTTTACATTTATATTTTTGTCAATGAAAATATATTAGTAGCATAATTTCAAAAGTAGTACTGTATTTACTTCCATAATTACTTACTCCTTTTTCCTGTTAATTTTACTGCTTGAAAACCAGGAGAGGGAAAAATATAGAATGTATATTATTTCTGAACAGATAGCTTATTTGATAAAGATGCCACATTGAAAAGCACATTAATATTATTATACAGTCAAAAGTCTGTAATCCGGAATCATCTGGACTTCGGTGATTCCGAATTATCGGTTTTTCCGGATTATACATCATCAGTTTAAATCTGGTAAGATGGCATGCAGAAATTATAAAATTAAAAATATGAAACCGTAATTTATGAAATAAAAAGCAATTATGATCTAAAGGCTATCAAAATTTTAAAAAAAAAGTTTAATACTTATTTGTTTACTTTATTAAACATTTCTTTCAATGTGCGCATGCATAAAGCATACATTACACATAGTCAAAATTAGAAAATTGCAACTAGAAAACTATTTGTTGTGTATTCATGATATTTATAATGAGGAGGAATTTGATTTAAATCATATCAAAGACAGAGTACATCAAGATGAAATATTACATTTAGTAAGGAATTATAAGCAGAATAAAATAAAAACATCTGCTCTGAAGATGTACTTCCAGTTCATTGCGAGCCGCAACATCCCCCCCCCCCCCCCCCGGGCTCGACAGAGCAGCATGAAATTGATAAACAGATTTTGGAATGGTTAGAGAATCAAAGGATATGCCTTTATCCATTTTTTGCAGCAATTCCACTTTTTGTTTGATGGACATCGAAACATGCTTTCGCTTTGTAGATCCTTTGGTATCTCCAGAATCGGAAATTCTTTTCTCTCAATTTCGTGCTTTTCTCGCATTTCGGGCATGCATACAGTGATCCAATCAACCCCTCTTTCATACACCATTCTAAAACAGCTTTCTTCCCTAAAGCAGGCAACATGGCAAATTCAGAATATTCAACATAATTCAACATGTATTCATTCACATTTTCAGCAATACTAATACCACTGGAGGCCATTGTAAGTATCTGTAAAAATGTATGCAAAGAAAAAGTAATTTACCTGAAAAGAGGTAATCCACTCCACTCAGCCGAAGAACGAAAAGTAATGAATTCTCAAAATGTTCTCGAAATCTCGTTTAAAATAATTGCACCTATACCATCTATTATTGTCTACTCCAATCTGAAATTCTCAGTTTAAAGTACATACTGAGCACACACGAAAATGTTTTGAAGTTTTCAACTTAAAATACATACTGTGCATGTGTGAAAAGGCTCTGATATTCGTTCTCTTCCAGATTTGCAAAATCAGCTTGGATACTACAATTGGCATGCTTATCAATCTCCTAAAAAGTACCAAATAAATTAGCGATTCTGCACTTCACCCAATTATTTATCATTGAATTTATCATAATGATTAATTTTCATAAAATTTATTCTCCAATTTATGAATTTATTATTTTCATTTTTGGTAGATGTCGCATTAACATAGAATTAACAAAATACGAATGAAAAGTGTCATGTCTAAAGTGTAATAAACTGAACTGAATAGTACAGCACTCTAACCTACCCATCCTCTCTTTCATAATTATATAATTAAAACAGAAGTGGTTGAGAAATTCTTTAAATGATTTTCCAAAAATATTTATACTTTCTTTCTTTTATAATACTTTATACTATTAAATGATGAAATGTAATTTCCTGTATTTTAAAAATTAATTTATATACTTTTATATATACTTTATACATAAAATATAAATGATAATGATATGTGAAAATGTAATTTCTCTGTATTTTTTAGACCTGAAATGGCTAGATGAGAAAGTTGACCTGTCTGTCTTTGAGGACCCTAATTGTTTGCTGTTTCATCCAAATGACACGGAAACGTCGATGGTGGAGGAGGCAGCGAATCTGCTATTAGGATCAACAGATAGTAACTTCGACACTTCATGTTTGCCTTCTGATACAATTAAGAATGAAGAAACAAGCAATAATGATGTATTAACAGATTTTAATATAGATTTTCAACCTGCAGTTTCTTCACCTGGTAGCTCTGATTCATATCTTGGATCTCCTTACAGCTCAGTACCTCAAGCGTTTTCACCTGTAAGCCCGTATTCTGAAATTCCAGAATCTCCAGTAGAATCTGCTGCTGATTCTGTAGAAGTCCCAGCTGAATCATTTTCTTTTGATTCTATAGAGGTTCCAATAGAACCTATTTATCCTGTCAATGCTGCATCGCCTCATTTTGAGAGCAGTCATAGCAATGCACCTTCTGTAATTTCTGTTACAGTGTACGATTCAGATTGTAGTAACTTTGTTGCAAAATCAGATGAGGTACTGAGCATTGAAGAAATATCAAAATCTGTAAGGAGTAAAAAATATGAAGCTGATGGCAAAACAATACCAAAAGTACATGTTTTTCTGAAGAATTCATTCCATCCATACGCAGCAGCATCTCAGAAAAAAGAATCACGCCAAGAGAGAAAGAAAGTGCAGAACAAGGAAGCTGCTGCACGTTATCGCATCAAAAAGAGAATGGAAGAAAAGGAGCTGTTAGATGAAGTAACAGATTTAGAATCTGAGCAGAAAAAATTAAAAGAGAAGCATGATGAATTAAAATCAGAAATAAAGTATTTAAAATCTTTAATGCGAGAAATGTTGCAAAAAAAGGGCATATTATAAAAAAAGTCATAACTGTAGTTGCATGTTAATATCGTCATCTGTAGTTGGGTAGTAAATGGGCTCATTTGCATTGTATACTCAACCACTTGTATTTTATTTGTATGTCTCATTTTTGTAATATTTAGTTTATTAAAAATGTAGGAAAGGTTTTATTGTGGCTTTGTTTTCATGCTGCTTGGAGTAATATTTATTAAGAATAGGTAATGAAGCAGTTAGAATTAATTTTTTTTTTTTTTTTTTTTTTTTTTTTTCCCTTTGGAATGAATTAATGAAACTTCTTTAAAACATACATTTAATCAATTAAGTGTACTAAATGAATATTTTTGTCAATATGAAAATCATATTTTTGGAATGCATCTTCTGTATGAAACGTAGCAATAACATAAAATTTTAAATATAATCCAGATTTTAAAAATCTTAAAGATAAGTGGTGATGCTTTAATCTAAATATAGGTACATAATTGCCTGAGAAATGTTAATACGTTCTACAATACTATATATTTGTTGTTGGGTCAAAGTCTTATATTTCCAATTGCAGAAGTGTTTTAAATGACAAATATATTCATGTTTTGGCAGTGCCAAATTCAAGAAACTATTAAATTAACAGTGAACATGTAGAGCATAAATTAAACTCTTAGTAAAGATGCCGATTTAGTTATTTCATGTATTCATTCATAACATTAAAAATCTTATCTTCAAAACACTAGAATGAAATTGCCATCATGGCAGCAACAGAGATTTTTTGTTATGTCCTTGTTAGTTCTTTAATACAATGAAACTCCAAATATTGGAACTAAGAGACCATAACTCATCTGGATACTACAAAAGACTAATTTGATTATATTTTTAGTAAGCCAAATACAGTTTCATTGTAGTGAAAATATAGTTTTAACTAGTTGTGCAGGACGAATTTCCGTACCTCCAAATTTATTCAAAAGGGACGTTACATTAACAGACTGAGTGATTTGAAAACAATAGATGTCTATTTCTTATAATTAAAATAATTATTTTTAATCATTTATCTGATAGAAATTGTATAATTTTATGAATATTTGTGACATGGTATTTTTAAGTTAATTTTCTAATCTATTATAGATTTGCTTATCATGGCATAGAATAAATTGTCTTTTGCATTTTTTTCCCTTGCATATTTACAAAAAATTAGAGGCCCATCTTTATTATCATACTAATTCAATAAAATTTAACCCTGAGCTTTTTTAGAATCACAAAAAAAATTCTAGAAAATATTATTTATAGGTGTTTCCCTTGCAACACATTAAGAAGTTTCTAGTTGAGTTATTCCTACAATCAAATCATTCCGCAAACTTTCAAAAGCAAATATCCACAAGGCGAGTGGGTGACTTGTGAACGAGCTGGCAAAAGAGACTTCGGTGGATAGTAAAACAGTCTGTACTACCGATAAAATATACCTTTACGTATGAAGATGGAAAATGGCTGAAAAGGTTAATAGGTTCTTAAAAAGTAAATGCTTTACTGTAATAATTCCTTTTGTATTTTTCAAATTCGAAGAAAAGTATGAACACATAAATTAACAATCTTAACTCTGCTCATTGTTATAAAAGAAAATATATGATTTAATTAAATTGTATTTACATAGAAGTTTCTTCTTGATCTTCATTAAAATTATCAATATTAAGATTCATGTTGAGTTAAAAATGCAAAAGATAAATTTCCAGGCTTGTATTGCAGTCCAGTTTTTCGAAACTCTTTAACCTCTTTTCCATCCTGACGTCCAACTTGTACGTCAAGTTTATAAGATGCATAGCATTACTAATGGACATGGTACTAACGCCTAACTCCATAGCAAGCTCTCCAGTGGTTGCGTACTGATCTTCCAGGCAGGCCAAAGCACTTTACTTATTGAATGCCTTAGTCCTTATTTTTGAACTTGGGGGTACCAAACCTTCATAATCTCGTATGATACTGCACAAGCTCCTAAAGCTGTGTACATGATTTCATGACGTTTTGCAACAAAACTGAAAGCAGGGGTGTTTGTGCTCCGGGGAAACCCCGGAATCGTTCAAAAGGAAGTAGGAATAATGATGAATTATTTATTTTGATCTGGGTAATTTTGTTTGCTTTGAAAGCAGAAAACTTTACCTTTCTTTCTCCAAAGGCAGTGAAAAGGGGGAAAATAACTTTTGTTCTTTCCTTATTGCGAGTTATGACTCATTCCCCCGGTTCTCGGACATTCTCTTCGGGATAGGCGCAGCAAAAGGGAGAGACTTCGTTCGACCACATGTGCGATCACGTGACTCTGGGTTCAAAGGTCTTATCTCTCCTGGCGTGGCGCCAATAAGTAGAGAAGGGGGATTTTTCGCCGTATTAGCTATTTGTCATTGATCGCTTCTCAACTTTTTTTTTTTTCTCCGCTGTGTAAAATTTTCGTTTCATTTATTGATGCGCGTGTGAATTTTTCGTTTCGTTTATTGAAATATTTTTTTATTTATGTTCGTAAGAGAATTTCACTATGAAATTTCTCGATATAAATAGTGATATTATACAATTAGAAGAAGGTGTCCGGAATGCATTTAGGTGGAATTGGATTGAACGGAGAGATGGTAATGGGGATACCATCGGCACATGGTGCAAGAAAATAAATGTTGCTGGACAAGCATATTGTGTTTTTTGTAACTCACTGCTGAAGTATGGTGGGGAAGGATTCAAGGCTTTCACAAATCATTCTAAAACCGTGACGCACATAAAATATTCAAAGTGCATTAGACATTCAATGACTTTAAGTAATTATGCTAATTCAAAAAATACTGATGACTTACTGGAAACTGATGCTCGGCCATTGGATATAGTGACAAGAAAAGCACGCCAAGAGGTATTAATAACTTCGTTTATCGCCGAGAATTCTCTTTCTTTCAATGTAGCTCCCAATTTAATTGAACTCTGCAAACAGTTGAGCCGCGATCAGATGGCACCAAACTCGTTGGAAATGTCCAGGACTACTGCATGTTATAAGATGAAATATGGGCTCGCAAAAACAATTAAGGAAAATATCATTAAAACTTTAAAGGAGACTCCATTTTCTCTAAATTTGGATGAAAGTACTAGCAATGCTCAAGAAAGTATCCTGGCAATATTGGTGCAGTTTTATGACAACAATCAAAATGAAGTTGTAGTTCATCATTTTGCATCTCTAAAGATGGAACTCTTGCAATTCAGAAGCTGTTTTTAAAGCAGTTGTTAATACTATTGAAGATAATAATATTCCATGGGCAAACTTAATTAGTGTATTAATGGACTCATGTAACACCATGCGTGGAAAAAAAAGGGTGTTGAAACCAGACTAGGATCAAACAAAGCACCCCACTTATTAGATATTGATGGTGACACATGTCACACAGCTAATAACTGTGCAAAAAAAATTTGCTTCATGTTTTGATAGATACTTAGAAGATTTGTTTGATGACATCTATTTTGATATGAAAAGCTGCAGTAAAAGAGAAAATTTTTTCAAAATCTGTGAATCCCTTGCCATTAAAAAACTTAAGCCCTTGAAGAGACCAGACCATAGGTGGGTGTACATTTTATGTGTTTTAGAAAGAATCAAAGATCTGTGGGATGCTCTTATTGCATTTTATTTTCACTACTTGGATAAAAATGATAAAGGGGATTATTTTTCTTATTTTGAAACTGTATACAATAAAAGAAATATTTCTGCAGCTCAGAAAAAAATTGTTGAGAGGTGTATTCTTGCTTGCATTCCTAACAACTCACAAAGGATGCTTTAGCTCGGAAAAAAAGAATACTAAATGTGTTATTTGTTATGCAAAACAAAACTTTATTGCATATGGCATTATATTCAGCAGTATTACCAGAGTTCAACACATATATTAAATTATTTGAAACAAAAAAACCAATGCTTCATTTAATACATTCCAGTATTTATAAATTGATGGCAAAATTTTTCTCTTTTTTTTTATGAAGCCAGAAAATATAGAGTGCACATCTTATAATGATTTATTAAAGGTTGATGTCACAAATCCAGAATTCCATCTACCTAGCAAAGTAATATTTACTGGTGCAGAAGCTTCCACTCTCCTGAAGAAATTATCAAAAAATCATCCAATAGCAAAAGAATTCCAAATTTCTCTGATGAAAGCTTATACTAATACAGCACAGCATATGAAACAGAAATTACCCCTTAAAAATTCATATCTAATTAGTTTTACAGCATTAGATCCAGAGCTAAGAGGTAAAACCAGTACAATATTAGCTTTTGAAAAATTATCATCTTTTATGTCCCATATTTTTAGTGATAATGAAAAGTCAAAAGTAGAAGCTGAAATAAGGTTTATACCAGAGTGATATTGATATCACCAAAGAAATGCTCTACACATCTGATGAAAGTGGAAATCAAGTCAAGTGTACAATTGATAAATATTGGTCTAAAGTTTTAATTTAATTTAAAGATGATTTCACAAATGATTATAAGTATCCTACATTGGCTAAATTGGTCAAAGCCTGCCTTAGCTGCTTCCATAGCCCATTAGTGGAAAGTGCATTCAACTTAATGGATACACTTGTCACTGACTATAGAACCTCTCTTAAGATTGATTCCCTAGATGCAGTGCAGACTATTAAATATGATTTAATGGCTTCTAAAGAAACCTCATGTGAAAAATATGGCTCAAAAAATCCAATTCACAAAGATCTCTTACTGAATATGAACAGAAGTTGGAAAACATATCAAGAGGACTTAAAAACATGTATTTCAGATGAGTCACCTATAAAAGTCTCTGAAAAACCTTCTACATTAGCAGAAAAATTACAATTATTACTACATTAGCAGAAAAGCAAACTGCTTCTACCTCTGCATGTGCAGTTCTCGAGGAAATTTCTTCAACTGTAAATGAGGAAAATAAAAGTCAACCTTCCTGCAATTATGAAGTTCACCACAAAAGAAAGACAAGCCCACAAACATCAGAAAAAAAAAAAAAAAAAAAGCAGCAGAAATTAGATAATTTTTTTAAAAGAATTAATTCAGTAATTTAAAATATTTACATAAAATGTAGTGTTTATATATTTTGACAGCACGCCAGCCCTCAGAATTCCATTCGCTTTTGCAGTCCAGAAACACGTAGTCTTGAAAACAATTGTACGAAATTTTAAAACGAATACGCAAGAAATCCTAATATATCCATGTTCCATATTTCACTTTACGCCGCGATTAGCCCACGTAAAAGATTACGTGCTGTGTTCCGGCAGTCATAAGATAGTTGCTTCGAGGAGCGCTGAAAGTAAAGAATTACATGAGCTGGGCGGTGCAGGATTGCGAAGGTGTAGAAGGGGGTGTGACCAACGTCACGTGAGCACGAGAAGACATCTGAATGGTGCAGTGCAGTATACATTATATGCGATAAAATACAAGTGAAAATATAAGTTTAAAAATGCAAAATGATAAGTATAAAACAAGTTCTTGATTAAATAATCACTATTTACATATGTACAAAGTCGCAAGAAAGTATTAATAGTTCAAGAAATTAGAAATACGTCATACGACACAGGTCACGTGGGAGGTCACCCTCCCAAGTCCTGGCTCTGGTGAATGCTACTGCATCTGTAAAGTTAGAATATGTGCAGTCAGACTTTGAGAAAAACAAACAACTATTTAAGTTGGAAAGTTCTGATTGCTATCTAGCATGAATGCAGCGAAAGGCCGAGATGTCTATCTTCGTCCAGTATTTCATACTGAAACAAGTTGAATTTATCTAGATGCTCACAGTCTTTAGCTTTCCTGAAGAAGTTCTTGTTAGTTTTACGAAGGAAATTGTCCATGGTCTCAATTTTAAGGTCCTTGTGTAAAACATCGTTGCGTACAAAGTAATGTGCGTTGGTTATGAGTCTTAAGAAGCGAATTTGAATTACTTGAAGCTTCTTTAAATCAGAGGCTGACACACCGGCCCGGGCTGGTGAAGCATAGGTCATTATTGGTCGTAAGATTGACAGGTAGATAAGTCTCTTTTTCTCTAAACTAAGTTTGGAGAAAGGGCCTAACATGGGATATAGACTTTTCATAACATAGATCGTTTTTTGTCTTACATGATTGATATGATTTGTCCAAGTCATTTTACTATTTAAAATCACACCAAGGTATTTTGCTTGAGTCACAATAGGGATAGGTTCGTTGAAAAGATTGAGTTGATTTTTTTTTGAGTTTCTTTTTCCTTCTGTGATGATAAGAAGCTGGGATTTAGAGGCATTAATTTGCACTTTCCAGTTCTTACACCATTCTTCGATGAGCGAGATGTGATCTTGAAGTTTACGGACGGCATGATTCACATTAGCAGACTTTACTGCTAATGCAGTGTCGTCTGCATAACACGCTAAGATGGAATTATTGCTGTGAAGAACAGTTGGAAAGTCCGCAGCATAAAACAGGTAAAAAATAGGTCCTAAAACACTTCCTTGTGGAATTCCACTGAGTATTGGGCGCTCGGAGGAGTAGGAACCGTGTACAGTCACTTTGAATTTTCCTGCAGGTGATGAAAGATAAGATAATAAGAACCAGTTCTCTTTCAAAATTGAAAGTCGATAAGTTTGGAGATGAGACCCTCATGCCAGACGCGGTCGAATGCTTTCGCCACGTCTAACATGAGGATAGCAACATTTTGTTTACAGTGCAGTGCTCATACTATGAATTCAGTTAATCTGACAAGTTGTTTTGTAGTTGAAAGCTGAACCCTGAATCCAAACTGTTCAGGTGGTAATAAAGTGAGATAGATTTTTCATTTTAGCGAGCAGAATCCTTTTGAAAACTTTACTCAGACTCGGAAGAAGGCTCATTGGGTGGAAACCATCAGGTTGCAGTTGACCTTTCCCCGGTTTGGTAATCATGATAATTTTAGCTATCTTCTATGAGCTTGGGTAATAGGAGTTAGAGATGCATGCATTAAAAATTCTGGTAATTTTAGCAATGATGTTCCTGGGTAGATGCTTGAGGGAGTTATTCGTAATGCCGTCTGTTTCCGGGGCTTTTTTTGGGGTGAAGTTTTCTGATGATTTCACTCACTTCTGCGGGATTAGTAAGATTTCTAATATTTCTAACAGTAGGAGCATTAAGCCAATCTTTGATTTTGAGAAGTGTTCCTTTTTCAAAGTCTGGATTTGCAGGCCAAACATTAGGAAGAAATTGAGTTTGGAGATGTGTTCGCAAATAAGTCGGCTTTTTCTTGGTTGGTAGTTGCAATGGAGTTATTATAATGAAGGGGACGGTTGCTTGTATAATTAGTCTTCATGTTTTTAATTAATGTCCAGAAGGAGCCGTCTTTTATGCTAAGATTAATCATTTTATCCGCCCAAAGTTCTTCCTTATACTGTTTGATAGCTTTACTGATCTTTTTATTAATTTTATTATAGTCTCTTTTGATTGCCGGGTCCCATGTCACATGATAGGATTTTCTAAGTCTATTTCTCTGTCTCATCATTTCTCTTATAATTTTAGGCAGACGATAAAGATTTTCGCTAATAGCTATTTTTTCACTAGCTTCATCACAAGCAGCTTGAATATGTGAGGTGAGTGAGTCGACTGCAGAGTCCATTCCACTATCAGTACACAAATTATCAAAATGAATAATTCTATTTTTCATAAGGTTATCAAATAAGCACCAGTCAGTTATAGTTCTATACTTAGCACTGTTCTGCTTAGAAACACCAAGCGTAGCAATAAAAGGCAGGTGATCAGATGTCATCTCGTGCATAACATTAAGTTGCATCGGCATAGTCATAGTAGTGAGAAGTATATCCAGAATGTCCGATCTTTCAATCCTGTCTGGCCGGTAAGTGTACTCATTCGGTGCATGGATAGCTATCGGATGGTTGAGAATATAGTCGTAAAGTATTTTACCATTTAGATTACTGCGTCGACAGCTCCATGCAGAATGCTTAGCATTTAGGTCTCCAGCTAAAATCACAGGGGTGTCACTTGGGAGGAGAGTATCCAGTATCGAGTCACTGAGTCTACTGTTGGGTGGGTTGTAGAATCCACAAAAATGAATTTTACCATAAGAGGGAAGGGTGATGGCTACAGTAACTGCTTCACTGCTATTGTCTTTAAATTCACTGATGAGGCAGGATTGATATGAACGTTTGACATAAATCGCAACACCGCCGCCGCGATGAGTTGTCCTGTTACATTTATACACATGATAGTTCGAAATATGAAGACGGTGACATGCTTGGGCATGCGTTTCTGTGATTATTCCGATGTCAATATCATGTGTTTGTAGAAAATGATTAAGTTCATTGAATTCGGTTGTGCAGACCATTAGCGTTCCACACTGCGCATGAGATGGGGTGTAAGTGGTCGGAGAAAATTATCCATTAACAGGAGTTTCCGTTGCACTGTCTTGAATTTTAGAAGATTTGAAAGTAGCGATTTGTTTACACATTTGTGGAAGTCCAGAGCCTTTGATTAGTTCTACAAACATTTTAAGTTCATTAAGAACTTGCTGTGCCTCTAGGATGAATTCCGGAGCCAGTCCTGAGTTTAAGGCTTGTGCGAAAGATTTATTTGTTACAAATCTGTCAGCGTAGGTTTTAGTATCTGGTGCAGTCTTAGGTTTTGGGAATTTTTCACATCCGTGATAATTTGCAGTGTGTCCTACTTGAAGACAGTTGGCGCGTTTCGGTGGGAGTACCTTTGTCTTTGGTGCACATATATGAGTTGTGGTCGTCTTCACATTTGACACACTTAGGCCCATGATGGGAATTAGATTGGGCGTGATGAAACCCTTGGCAGCGATAAACACTGCAAGGGTCCCGCTCTGCCTTTATAGCTTTCAACAGTTATTTTCATGCCAAGAAAAATCGTTCTTGTCGAATTGCTTTGTTCTTCTCTTTGCGCGAAAGGGTGACTAAAAATAATGGAAGAAGGTGGATTTCTCCATCTTTGCGTCTCTTTAGTTGATTGACACGAGTAACATCATAGCCTTTGATTTTTAGCTCTTCTTCAATCCCCTCTGGTTTGTAATAGGTTGGTAAGCTTCGTATTACCACTTTGATATTCTGGCTCTCCGGCAGTTCGTAACAGTGGAAGAGTATTTTCTCGTCTTTGAGAACCTTGACAATCTGTTTATAGATTGCCGGCTGCTAGTCACCAGATATTTAAACAATCTTTTTTCCTTCAAAATGCCATCAACCAATCATGACCACTGCTGAAAATGACCGTTATTTCAGAGAACACAAAAAAAGTTGGTATTGAACATAATTTTCTCTAGGATGAATGTCTACAGAAACTGATACTGTGGATAGTCGTCTTAAAGAAAATCCAGTGTATTAAGTGTCATGCTTATTGTGTTTCATCAATAAAAAAATAAATTATTATCATTAAGATATTTTGTCCCATGATTAGTAGTAATAAATGGATTTGCGATGCATTAATGTTCATTATTATTATTATTATTGCATCCTTCTGTTATTGAAAATTCTATTTTGATGATTTTAAACGAAGTATGCATTTTATGTTTAGAGAAAGCAGACTATTAATTTTAAATAAAATTTCATTTAGTATGTAAAAAAGGAAAATAGATATCTTATATACTTTTCATAAGAAGAAAAAAAATATTAGTCTTCAATAATCAAGACCATAATAAAATATATTAGCTGATCGACTATATGGATATATCCTCAATATTTCTAATAATTGCTTTAGCAATATATTTATTGAGCATATCAGTTTTATGGCAAATAATTTTACAAAGAGTTCAAGAGAAAAAGTATGTTAATTTACTTTATTAATCATTCCTTTGTTAAATTTGTATCTATGAACAAATTGGTTTGTAAGGACTCTTGTCTTTCTTATCTGCACCTTTGCTTTAAGATGATTCTAGAAAAGATAAAAATAAAAATGTCGTTATCAGAATGTTGCAAAAGTTTTATTAGAGTGAGTAATAATTTCAAAATTACAGTCTGAGTTCTTGATATTCAGAATAATGATTATAATAGACTTAATATATGGATGACCAAAGGCGTTTTTATTTGATGACTGTTCTACATAATAGGTGCAATTCTATTTTGAAAGAAATTGTAACCAGAATTTAAAGCTGCTATCACACCTCCATTTGTTTCGAAAGAACAACTGTTTGGAACAATTTTTTTGCTTTCTCACTACAGCCACACAGATCGCTTTGGGTAACACTGGGAAAACTGGTTCTCCATTACAAACAAGCTCATTTGCTGAAAACGGACGACTTGCAATTTTTTTCGAAGGGAAGGAAAAAATCGCGCGTCTTTCTTTCAATAGTAAACTAGGCAGAAAAATTGCCCGAAACAGTTGTTCGTGTGAAACAAATGCCTGTGTGATATGGGCCTAAGACATCTGTTTGATTGGCGATTTGGTTTAAAAATATCCTTCTGACTGTTATACAGGGTAAAGCAATGTCTCGAACTCTGTATTGTTACAATCAATAGAGCCTTCGTCGTCATTTTCACTTTCAAAAACAGCATCATCTTCCGTGCCGTCCAGTTCGTTGCTAATACAACATTTTTTAAATGATTTTATAATCATTTCAGAGGGTATTTCGTTCCAAGCATCTTTATCCCACTGAGCAATTAATGTAATATCGGGCTTTTTAATGTTGTCTCCCTTTGTAAATGTTGATCGACCGGAACTAATCCACTCTGGCCAATATTTTCTAACATTTACTTTTGAAAATGATCGTATATAGTAACCTTCTAGAATTTGTTTGGGAAAAGATTCGCATACGTAAAATCTATCTGCATTTTCCCTTTTTAAAGTTCGAAAGAAATATTCAAAACTGTTCAGTTATTGCGTGGGTTATTTTTTTAAATTTTGAATGAACAATAACTATTATAAAGCCTTATACGTACGTAAAAACTATCTGCATTTCTCTTTTCTTGGCGTGTTGACGAAACTTTTTTATTGCTTGATATTGATCGGTTGTTCGGGGGCCGAAAATTTCTTTGGTTTCAATCGAAACTTACTCTAGTTAAAGTATGAAAAACTGTGATTAGTTCGTCACATAATTTAAGTCATGAAATTACTTCAAGTAAGTGACTTATTTGATAAGTCGTCCAATTTGAGTGCGGAAGAAGAAAACAACTGCATTATATAAAGAAATTTTTGAACTTCCGATTCTTTAATTTTTATGGCCCCGCGTATAAGTCGACCCCCCCACTTTGAAGTCTATTTTTGTCCAAAATATCTCGACTTATACGCGGGTATATACGGTATATTTTCATGAATATATTATTCCATTTTGCGCAGAAGACTTCTGAAAATGGACTTCATTTTACATAAAAAATATAAGAAAGTAAGTTTGATACAATCCTCTTATGTTATTACCCTATTTATCTTGCAACTTTTCAAATCTTTTTCTTTTTTTAGTTCAAAGGGCAATTTGCCCTGAAGGACTATTGATTTCGTTTTGGCATTTTGCATTGAAACTTTAAAAAGGCTGTATCACTTTTCAAATCGTTGCCACCATATATTATCTCTCTGTCTTACATTTAAAGAAATTAAATGATGAAGAATCTGCATAAATGTATGTAGAATTTCTCGCATTGTGATAAAACAAACGGTACCTATAGCCATCAAAATTTGGATGAGGTATCTTCCATAGAATATGGGCACGTAAAACCCTAATTTGAATTTGAAATTTGTTTTATTATCGATTTCGGATCTTGTAACACTTCAACGAATTTTTGATTAAAAAACTAAACGATTTCAAAGCGAGCAACGGCAACAACACACTGTACAAAAAAAAAAAAAAAAAAAAAAAAAAAAAAAAAAAAAAAAAAAAAAAAAAAAAAAATTCCAGCGCGCGATACTCTGTATCGGAAATTCTAAAGATATACTCGTTTTAAAATTAATTTGCGATACTGCTGTTGAACTGAATTTTATAGTTTGAGTACGTAGAACATAATATTTGATAAATAAAGGTTACACACAAAATGTTAAAAAAAACACCCCTTTGGTCGTGATTTAAAATTAGAAACTTTCCAGATTTCTTTTTCTTTTTTTTTTTTTTTTTTTTTTTTTGTGTGTGTGTGTGTGTGAAATAATACATATTACCTGGTTGTTCTTTTCCGCAGTCAGGTACAAGATATTGCCATTGACAAGTCCCACTTTTCGAGTTGAAAGACAATCCAGTCTGACAATTCATTTTTGAAGCTAATCCGTCTTTACATTGCCAGAAAGTTTTGCAGCTACCTGCCTTAGCGAATATACCATTTCGTCTGGGGCAGTTGGTGCTGGCTTGAGCGGGTTCTGAATTATATAATGATAATATGTAAATAAACAGAATAACTTTTCTTTCCAAGTTAAATAACAAATGGACAGAACAAACAAGAAAAAAAAAATTGAAAATATGTACGTATTATTTTTAATTAGCTTTTATTTTTAAGGCCATTATAAGAAAGTTTTGTATTATGTATTCTAAAATTTTAAATTGCACGTAGTTCACATGTTTATTCTTATAACTTCTTGTGTGGGTAAATTTTTGCCTCGTTAAACATAGATTTCAAGTAATAAGTAAGTCAAATGAATGAGCACACGATCGTGCATATATTCCTCTTCAGATTGGTCAGATTGAAAATAAAATCTTTCCAACACAGCTATCAACATCAAACTACTGTTGCTAATATCTGTGTGATTTTGCAGAGAATTTATTTATATACAAATACAGAGAATTCTTGACTCCATCTCGATTATGGCAGTTTATTATTCCTATAGACCACAGTTTCTTAAACTGTGGGTCGCGAACTCCACGGGGGTCGACAAACATTTTAGCAGTTTTGATATTTCTTTAATTTATTAACTTTACAATTACGAAATATTTTTACGCCATGTATCTGAAAATAGATAAAGATAAGATAATACAGAAAAACGAAAACGTTTCGACGCATCCTTTTTATAATATAAAGTTTCATTTTACTTGCTTTGCACGTGATGCTGTCATTTCGTCTGTTACTTATTTAAAAGTTTCACATTATTCTATGTCTTAAAATTAGAAATTAAAGTTAATGACTTAAAACTGGAATAGTACATTACAGTTCAAGGGGGGGGGGATTGACAGTTTCACTCACGCGTGTGTCGGATTTGCGCAATGCTTATGGGGTCCCACAAAATATTTGTAATTATTGTTGTGTTTTTCTTTTTTGACACCAGTTGTTACATTATTTTCTTCCTTCACGTTCGTACGGGGTTCGTGTGGATTTGGAGTGAATAACGACAGTACTTCTTGATAAAGTATCGAAACACACTTTATTTAGTCAATACTAATCTGTACAGCTCCAAAGTCACGTTTTAAAGTCGTCGAAGATCTACTATAAACTCGCTTGAACAATCAGCGCTACAGCCTTCAGGTTATGAGGCAATAACGGTGGAGACAGCTTCACTGCAAAGCACCAGAGTACAGCTCGATTCTGCTCGGTCGTTCTCGGAACTCCACGCTACAACTCCCGATGCACTCAAGAGACACACAGAGCACAGCTCCCGACTCTTCGGTTCAGCCGTTGCCGGAACTCAACACGCTCTCTCGACGATACACTAAGAGACTCTTTCAGTGCACTTGACGACCCACTCAACACTCGCTGGCCGGCTGTCAACTCAGTCGTCTCCGCACGGACTATCTAGATGAGACACACTCTCACACACTCTACGCGAGGCACTCACTAAATGACTGCGGACCAGCAGGGTTTATATAGCTTTCGGCTTGTTTTCGAGAACATTCTGGGCTAAACCGGTAAGAATTCGTTCCAGAAGGTTCTCCATGCGTCCATAGCATATCGCCAAATGGGCGATTTCTCGCCAAATGTGGCAAGCAATAAGTATGTTCGATTAAAATTCTGATATGACCCATATCATGATATTCATTAAAAATCTTATCGTAATTCCTTGTATTAGCGTCTTCTTTGTTAATGACGTTAGAGGGTGAACTTCGGCAAGGAAGAGCAACCAAAGGCAGAGGTGAATCGCAAAGCTAGTAAGTGCACTAGTGTGCAAACTGCAAATTATGTCTATTTTTACAAACCTTATTGAACCAAAACATTGAACAAAGGTGCTAACTTATCGCCGAAGAATTATCGTGTTTACTCTCGTAATAGTCGCTTCCCCGTTTTGAAGCAGAAAAAATCGTCAAAAGTGTGCAATATTGTTTGATAGATGTCTCCGCATAATAATCGCACCTAGAGTTTCACATTGAAAAATTTGCAAATTAAAAAACGTGCGACTATTACGCAAGTAAACACGGTATACAAATATTCAAAGTCGACTACGGAAGCATGCGTTAGCGTTTTGGGGAAGCTATGGTTATGGAGCGGATATAAGCCACACAAGGGTTTTCCGCGATTTGTGTGCTCGTACTCTTTCACGACATTCGTCGTGTTTCTCGCAAGAGTTGGGCAAATTTTATTAGGTATCAGGTAAAATGAGTAGTCACGAACGTATAGATAATGGAATGAGATGAAGAATTGTCGACAGATTGGGGGCAGGACAATCACAAACGCGGGTAGCTACAGAGCTAGCCACTCTCGTCTGCAGTGTGGGGAAAGTTTCAGGACACTGAATCCATATCGAGAAGACCTGGACAAGGTCGACCAAGATTCACAACGACAACTAAGGATCGTTATTTGGCACTTTCAATGCGAAGACACAGGACTGCTACAGCTTCACAGTTCCCATGTGAGATGTGTGCTACCACTGGAACCCAAGTTTCACGAGCTCTAGTTGCTCGAAAGCTTCATAGGGCTGTATGCCAGAAAGCATCATCGTGAACGAAAAGGTCTCGCATAAAACAATGCAGGATGAAAACATAGTGGGAGAAAAGAAAGCAAAAAAAGAAAACATCGCAGTTCTAAAACATAATTGTACAAAACATCATCGTCGAAAAAAGCGGTTCAAAACCATCGTCGTCGAAAATATAGTGGTAAAAAATAAAGAACCTATAAATCATCGCATGACGCTAACATCGCAGAAATTCGTTTTTCAAAAAAGTTGTAAATGCATATTCGCGCAATGGTTTGGGAGCGCACGAAGGAATAAGGAACATTTTTATTTTTATATTTCATATTTTTGTCTTAACTAACTTTTTGCTGAAAATCTATGGAGGAAATTTAAGCATTCAAAAGCGGAAAATAAATCGAAAATTAATGCTGCTTATAGTAGTTAATAGAGTTAATAACATAGTTAACTAATAGTTATTAATAAAAGTTAACTAATAAAATAGTTAACTTTACATTAGTTTACATAGTTAACTAATAAAAGTCATTAATAAATTAATTTCTTTTTTTATAAAGTTTTATTGTAAATTTTTTATTATAAAAAATGTGGTCTAAAATGGTTAGAAAAAGAATAGTAACTGCATAAAATTACCTATACTGAAATTGTTTAATTAATCGTCAAATTGTAAAATAATTTTTTTCACCTTAGTTAATCTGATATTCTTTAAAGAGGGAAAAATTAAACCTTGTTTCGTTACATTTCATTCGTCTTCTTAAAGTATCATTAACTTTTTCGTATACAGGGTACAGTTAAATTTATTAATTAATTCAAAAATATGAAATACAAAAGTAAAAATATTCCTCATTAGTTCTTGCCCTCCCAAATCATTATACGAATATGCATTAAATTTTTTTAAAGCCTGAAGAACACATGTTTGCGATGTTATAACCATCAGATGATGTGTAGTTGCTTTATTTTTTTGACACGATATTTTCGATTATTTTTTTGACACGATATTAAGAAGAGAACAGCTGTCTAGACTTCACGAAAACAGATAAGTTCACTGGCCAAGTCATTCCGAACATTTTCAAATCGTTCTGCAAGCATAATCTAGGGCCATCAAATGTAGGGCATGAGAAAATCAAATGTTCCACATCCTGGGGTACTCTTTTTAAACATTCACATAAATTGTTTGATCTTAGATTAAAACGAAACAAGTAACTTACAAATTTACCGTGACCAGATAAAAACTGAGAAACTTTAAAATTTATAGAGAGGAAAGACTCGGAATGCAGTCTATGGTAAATAGAAGGAAAGAACTTTTTGGTGACTTCATCATTACAAGATGAAATATATATTCCTCATTCCACTTAGCTAAAAGCTTCGTATAATGAAAGGACTTCCAATAGCTTTTTATTATTAAGTATTGTGACGTCACAGTGATCCAAAAGTATCCCATTGTTTAAAGATTAACATTATGCTTATATCATGGCCTGAAAATAGAAGCTGAGACTCAATATTAATGGAGTTACTAATAGGAAGCCTTAATTAAAAAGTAGTTATGGGAAATGTTAATCAATGCTTAATATTATTACCGATGAAATACGTATTCACTATTTGATGAAGTGTATGGCAAAAAGATATTCTGCACTTGCAATGGAAAAAAAGATAAATCTAAAATAATTATATTTTCATTCTTCCGACTGCAAAACCATCTTAAGCAATTAAATCTGATAATCTTTAAATTATCTCAATATTATTCAGAACAATAGGGGTTATTATTGTTAACGATAATTCATTAATGCAAATCCTATTTAGGTGTCAAATGATTTCCATTAATTACATTAATTATGTGAATCTTTGAAGAAATTTTAAGTAAAAATAGTTATAAATATTTTATTACTGATGTTTATGTACTGCATTATTAAAACGTTTCTTTTTTAATTACTTCAGATTTTGTACTGATAAGCACTAAACTATTATAATATGAAAGAACAAAATAAATAGGATAAATTATTTTCTTATATTTGGGAAACTTTCATTAGACTATATGCATGAAAAGTATGTGTGATTGTTTTTAAATACTCACTTGTTGAATTGAAAAGCAATGCTTTGTTATAATATGAATTTTTTAAATACTCGTTAAATTGAAAAGCAATGCTTACTATTATATGAAAGATAAATTAAAAAGCTTATGCTCAGAGAAAAACAGCAACTCTCAAAACTCGCGATTTGAGATAGAGATGAATAGTTAATGCCATGGTACCTTAACGCAGTATAATATGAAACGACACAATAATTATTAAACATCTCTGAAAGTCAAAATGATTTTTCACATTCGAATAAGATTTATGACGCTGAGAAATTACTTATTTCTGATTTTCAAAGAATTTCGAAAGCTTTCCTTCACATTTTATCTAGGCTTAGGACTGGCAGATTAGATATAAATTTAACGAATGGATTGCGCGAAATTTCCTACAGCTTAATACTGTGTGTAAGCATTTAAGTGTTATGTAAATATGAGCCTATTTCTCCTAGAGAATTCTCCACGAAAACGTGCTTTGTCAACCAGCCTTCTTTAATTAAATAAACACCTAAAATATCCTTATTCTTAAGATGATTAAGTAATTAATTTCCTGTTAAATGGTACGAAGCTTTTTAAAAACTAGGATACATTTGATAAACAATTAATTAGTGCTTTTCAACTGAAATTGGATTGGATTATTTGTTTATAGCAGTGTTTTCCAAGTTTTTCAGCCTCGGGGCTTCCATATATATATATATATTATATATATATATTATATATATATATATATATATATATATATTGTTCAGGAAAAATAAAAAGGAAATTTCATAATACAAAATGTAATAATGAAATGTTAATAAACAAATAGATAAAATCAATAAGATCATCTGATGATTATAATTTAATTCACAATTATAAACACATAATGTTATTAATAATCTAAAAAAGTGCATACTAATATTATTAAAACTGCTTAATAATACATAAAAGAAAAACATCATTTCAAAATATTTCGCGCCGTATATAATTTGTCTTTATTTTGGTACCATGTACATCCATGTACACATTTTGGTAACTACTGACTTACAGTAAAGCACAGATGAGACCTCCGTCAATAGCTTCATTCTAGTTTTTATTTCTGATATATTGATACTGAACGATATCTAAAAACAACTTTTACATATTCTGTCCTTACCCGGTAACTTTTCTCTTCGCCATTAACGTCATTCTTCTCTTCTTGACCGCACATGCGACAATACCGAGCCTTAAAGAGGTTGGACTTCTATTTCCACCCCAGTTTTGAGGTGGAGCAGCCCAGGGGGGTTCCGAAAGTCTCCCACCTCTCTTCCCTACCACCGAACAACACGAGAAGACTTTCGGCTCGCCATATATTTAGAGTGCTTTCTTACCGCACAGACACTACACAAAACATCGATGCTCTCTCCGGAATTCGAGCCTAGGCTGTTTGATACCACAGACAAGATCACTAACAACCTATCCGTCAGGTTGGCAAAGGCAAAACTAAAAACAAAAATAACTTTTTTAGCAAATGCACATTATTTCTTTTTTTCGCTGCTGTCATCAGAACGACATCTCGCTCTTAAGACTGCGCAAGTTTTCGATCTGTTTATTGCGCATTTATATTTTCTTATTAAAGTACTCTATTCATTTTTCTACCTCGTTAAAATTGATGGCAATTTTTTTTTTCCAATCAATTTCCCAAATTTTTTTTTTTTGTTGTTGTTGTTTACAAATTACTAATTTTTGACGTAATTAAATTTTGCAAATTATTGATTTAAATAAATACACAGTTGCTGTTAATACACCCATGATTGTTATTAAATATTATTTGCTATACATTATAAGGAATTTTCAACGCATTTATTTTACTTGTCTGGCATCCAAGTCTTTTACTTTGTGGTACTGTGACTGAGGGATACTCTTTAGAATCGATTACTTTTTAGAATGGGGGGAAAAAAGGTGATAATATATTTATGACATACCTCATTTAGAAGCTTTCAGGGAGTTTTTACGGCGCTGACACGTATCGGAAGATTTAGAACTACTATAACAGTAATTTGCTCGAGAAAATTTTATGCGTTTCCTTTTAAACATTCACACTTTGAGGCTTAAACATTTGAAAACATTTTCCCTTTTTAATAAAGAATCTATGATTTTTAATGTTATTTAGGAATGGACGTTAAAATACTTGATGCACATAGATAAATTCTATCTTTGCAAGCATCGACGACTTTGCACAAATCCAAAAATTAAGTGGATTTACATTGTTAATTATAGACCACCTTTAAAATGACTTTATTGCTATTTAGGTAGGAACAAGAAAATATACGAGGCATATAACAAACTCACGTAGGTATGTTCTATCCTTGCAGTCAACAGCGAAAGGGAAATCGCATCTTTCGTAAAGTGGATTCAAATCGTTAAAGACGAGACCATCTTTGCACAATTTCGCCTTCGGTTCGCCATTCCGACATTCGTAGTAGAGATCGCATTGGACAGGATCAGCATAGTAACCGTTACTGTTAGGGCAAGTGAACTCAGAACAGCCTGAAATATAAGAAAGGAATTAATATTAATGCGATGGCACAGCCAGAGCTTTTACCACCTTTCTCAGTGTACTCCAAAATATCTATAAAATGCCAAAAATAGCATATAGGGAAAGAAAAGCAGAGCTCTTATGTTTATTTTTGAAATACAATTTTAATTTCATTATTCTAAAGTACTGTTTTGTTTGTTTTCCTGGTCGCATTCTTTCTTTAGTTGTTTAGTACACTAAGATTTCTTAAACGCAGTGTATTCCTTTAATCGATCTGTATTTAATAAATGTCTTCTCACAATAAGTAACACTTCCAGCAGTTGTGAGGAAAATTTGAAAGAGTATTACAATATTTGGAGCTGAAGTCTGGAAACGGTATTTTAGTATGTGTAAAAAGTTCAAAAGCGACTGTCCGTCCTTCTTTGTGGTTTGTCTGTCCTGAAATAAAACTTTCGCAATGACGCAAATGTAGAATTATTCCGTATTTGTCTCATTATCATTGATATTCAAATTTCCCATTGAAAAGTTTCAATGGAATAAGAAAGGCTGACAAGTTGTTGAAATCTCGTTATGATTTCTTGGTCAATTCATCATATATTTCTTCTCTTAAGAAATGGCTGCATAGATAAAGATGGCTGAATACTGGTAATAGAAAGGGTTAGACAGAAAAATGCTCCTTTACTGTTTAAAACTTAGGATTTTGAATAGATTAAACGCTTAGATTGGATAAGATTTTGAATAAAACTCGATCTATCAATGAAACATCACCCTTGAAATCGATAGATGTTTATTTATAATTTACGCCAGTCTGCTTTTCTTGGGATAATTTTAAATTTTACTCTGGTGTATTTCTTTTACATTTAGCGCTTTTACCAGATGATTTCTTAAAATTGTAAGGTTCTATAACTTTACTAATACTTTAAAACTCCTTTTATTTCATTTCATTCCTCGTTATCTGCTTAAATGCTTATAACTTAATGGTAATGCTTAACACTGTATCGTGAATTCTGAACATATGTTGCTTTAAAACGTTTTATGATTTTGCTGTTAAATTTTATGTGGCACAAATGCGAAGAAAGCGATACTTAGTAATTAAGTTAAAAAGATAAGAAAAGTTCTGTTGACATCAGGGGAAGCTATGTGAAACATATGAGGAAATAAATGAACTTCAAAACATAACAATCATACACTGCTATCCAATATGATTATGCATACAACCGTCAGATCGTTTATGGGTGCTTATGTTCGTCTTCACCACTATCGTGAGAAAAAAAGCAGATGTTGTTATCTTTATCTGATAATATGCTTCAAAAAAGCAAGTCTTATTCAATTAATTGTAAGTGGATAATCTCATATCTCTCTCATTAAATAATGTAGAATCTGTGTATATGTATGTATGTTCGTCGCATTGTGAAAAAATGGTTGCACCAAGATACACCAAATTTTGAAGACAGATATATTGCCATTCTGCAAAATGCAATATATTTGCTTTTCGAATTAGATCGCGTTATGAAAAAACGGTGGCACCTAGAGCCACCAAATTTTAAACGCAGCTATTCCTCTTCCCGAATATGTGCACCTCATGGACCAAATTTTGAATTTCGAAAGTTTTTTTATTCGAATTTGTTTTTTTATTCATTTCATATTTTGTGCGAATTTAAGGAACGTTTCGTTAAAAACTCTGCAACGTGAAAGCTCTGCTTTGCCATTCTGCAAAGAGTAAGATATTTATTCTGAAACTCAGTATAATAAAGAAAGTGTCCTGTTATTCGGCAAAACGAAACATATTTGTCTTCTAAATTTAATCACCCAATTTCACAATTCAAAAGAAATGTGTAGCTACTGTTCGAATTAAAATATTTTTTCGTTCCACGTGGCAATGTGTTGCCATTCAGCAATGCGTAAGATATTTAATTTCTTTTTAAAATTTATTTTTTCTCCTAAGTGCTTTAAATTATTAAAATTAGTGAATTGTTAGTGAAATTAAGTGCTTTAAAGCAATTAACGCAAATTCATTTCAAGTATTATTAATTACTAGCTGGACTCGTGAAATTAGCTACATTCACTAAAATCATTATATATATTCTTTTTTAATAATAACTTCTTTAGGCGACTGGCTGCGCAAGCGGACAGTATATTAAATAAATAAGAAGCAAATCCTGATTTATTTATTTATTTTTAAAGCATGAGAGGTGCTATTAATCATGATTCTCAATTTTTTTCCGTATCATTTTTCGAACAATAATATGGTAATAGTCATTCAAATACAAAAAAATTCAAATAATAGTCATAAAGCCGCCAAAAGTTATTGTCCTACATATTATTTGTAAAGAAATAATGCACGACAACACAAATAAAAAGATGTTGCCATCAAATGTTATCGCTATGTATTATTTAAAAAAATAATATAGCGAATGGGGGAAAAAGTATGGCAACACTTGACACTCTAATTAGGGGCAAACGGCAATGTCTTAAGATAGGCGATAGATAATCGCAGGAATTCTTAAGATAGGCTGTTTTTAAATGTTTTGTGTTTTTTGCAGTTGAATGTTATGTGTCGTTAAGTACGAAGAAAGTGATTTTTAATAAATAACATCTAAGTTAAATAGATAAAAAATATTTAAAAAAAAAATCTGAAAGCTGTCAGATTTGATACTGCACCCAAACGGGTGTTTTTAAATTTTTTTTTATTTACACACACATACACGTATCGAGAGCAATTTGGGCTACAAATATTAAAATTAAACATATGCATTCATTTTAAAAACAGCATATCTTTAGAATTTAAAATAGACAGTCTCGCGCGGTGGAGATAAGAATGTTTCTCTCTTTTTTTTTTTTTTTTTTCTGTGCACTGTTTCGGTTGCTCACTCTGAAATCGTTGAGTTTGTTAATTAAAAAAATTCCTTAAAGTTTTACAAAATATGAAATACACAATAAAATAGGCTTCCAGGTGCTCATATTTGGGTGGAGGATTACGTTATTCAAAATTTGATGGCTGTAGTTACCACTGTTTTTTCACAGTGCGAGAAACATACATACATTTATACAGACTGTTCATTATTTAATTTCTTTAAATATAATACAAGGCGATAATATTTGGTGGCAACAATTTGAAAAGTGATACAGTTCTGTTGACATCAGGAGTGAGTCCAAAAGCAGACTGAGAAACTGCGACCTCAGCGAGATAGAAACAGATGTTTCCTCTGGTGCTACACCAAAATCTGGATCATTTCAAATTTTTTTTTTCTTCTTTTTCATGGCTTTGTTATATACAACTATATATGTTTTGCTTTGTTATATACAACTTTATTGCGTTAAATTTATGAGGTATTTTCTCCCTCCTTCCAGCATTCCTTCATGGTGTAACAGTAGCATATTCGGCGCGTATTCGGGAGATCCAGGTTCGAGTCCCAGTGACGGCCTTGCACATTTTTCATATCTCCTGCTTCAAAGTAACCGAATGACTCTACACCTTGCTACTTCTGATAACAACTGTTCAAGCAATTTTAGTTTTTATTCCGAGTGATTCAAAATTACCATCCTCCTCGCGGTTTTTGAAAGTTCATATCGCAATAACTATAAAAAATGGAGGAAACAAATTTACATAACAGTACATAAGTGATAAGTGATAAGTGACGGTGGACGTGGGCACTGTCCCTTTGCCGTAAAGATTAATCACTACAGCACCACGTCTACCCTTATCTAAAAAAAGTTGGCTAGAGAGGAGCCTTACGAGAGCTATACATTTACATGTATACTATACTTTGTACTTGAAGTTACTGGTTAATACATTAACAAATAAATCTGTACATAAATTCTATCTATGTTTACATTGTTGGGAGTGACTTTACATAAAGCTGCGTATTGGAACATTATAATTGCTCCGGAAATTATGCGAATGTGCTTGTGAGGGTTAACCTGCTGGGGCGTAAACATTTATACACTACAAGTGTTCAGAAGGCAGCTATAACTAAATTTCTGCAGTACACATATGATTTATGCTATACATTACATTTTACTTATTTATGACATTGTAAATTATTATTTGGTACGATCTATAATTCGGTAATATACATTATGCGATACGACATGGGCATATCATCTATCAGTTAATGGGCAAAGAATGGTATCACACTTAACATTATTTGACGTTACATTTGTAATTCCTCATTGATATGACGTTGTCAGCAGTGACATAACAGTACATAAGGAATCTATCCAAGTTTGCCTTCGTAATAGACCTTATCACGTAATTGTCGATTCAGCTTGCAAGTGGGTATCAATAAGCTAATTGGCGGTATAATATAAGCATGGCATTTACTGATGAACACAAAGCGTACTGCCTCTTAAACTTACCCTCGGGAAACTCGAGAAACTTGTTGCTTCCAGAAGTATAAATGTAGATGCCCTAGAAGTATACAATGCAAATGCAGGTACTTTCTCTGAATAGTTCCTCTCCTAAGCAATTCGTCCCTTATCGTCGTAAAATATTGCGTCTACATAAACGAAACACATCGCTAAACGCAATCGTTTCCCAAAAGATGCGGTTAGAAAACTCTCGCTTAGACTGGTACTGGGAGAAACGCGTTTCTCGGAAAACTTTCTTGTTGCATTTCGCTTCGATATTTCTGATAAGACTACTGAAAGCCAAAATCATGTTGAACTATGGGGTATAGGACTAGAGAGTGTTCATTGCAATAAATTCACTGTTTGTAAATTCATATAGTAGTACATAGTAGTAGGAAAAAAAAGCAAATAGAAGGGGTGATGTCAAAGTGTGAATTCTCTTTGTATGACGAATGACACACGCTCGTCTGTATATTGAACAACCAACATAAAGGATCCAGATAATTTATTTCCCCCCCCCCCAAGATTCTTCTTTTTCTTTCTTTTTAACTTTTCCTACGATTATTCTTTTTATCAGTTTTTGTCTTCATTATATAATTCTGTGCTACAAAGCCCTATTCTATGTTTTACAACCTTGAGGCAAAATTTATATATACAATGA